GTGAAGAAGAGAGGAAGGGTGGCACCAATCTGCATATGAGCACCAACTCATATTCCCGCATGAAGGCGAGGGAGTTCGGATGCAGCTGTGAAGGCGCCAAATCAAGATGGACAAAGACAGCCTACTGAAAATCGGTGAAAGGCAACCTTAACCCTATCACCTTGAAGACGTATTCATACATAGGGAAGCACTCCCCGTAAGCTGAGCAAATGCGATCTTCTCCAGAAGGGAAATGTACCTTCCGTTCTCCTTCCGATCCCACCATCGTAAAGGCATCCCTGATATAAGAGGCAACGATGGATGCGTTCTCCATAGGCTCGGCCATGGTTCATTTGTCTACTAGCGACAACACCGTTAACATCCCCACAATCTCGAGCGAAGAGGAACTATCATCTGTATTTGTGCTCTCTGAGGAACTGTCCTCGGATGAATCCCTATGGCGATCTTCTTCTTCCCGGCGCGACATCTCTTTTACCTAAAAAGTAGACGAAAACAGTGAATTCAATGGCCAAATCAAATCCACCCTTCCACCGCTAGTCAAGTGAAAGGGCGCACGAAGGGCCGAGGAAGAGCATCCTCGACCTAAGCCCTACTCAAATGGCACAGCTACACAGGCGGGGAGGTGCCCGATTGTTCTACCTAAGGCATCCGGGGATAGCCCCCGATCTCAAAACCTAGTGGCCTCACAAGGAAACCACCAGAAATCACGGTAACCTAACAACGACGCAACCACGAATCACCTGAGTCTAAGGGTTGGTAATTTACCCCTCATAAAGGGGCCAACTACGCCGCCGACAGCAGACAGATGGCCGCGCCACCGTCTACCACCAACACCACCATTAAATACACCCTAACTAAGATGTTCAATCCTAACCACATGCAATCTAAGACGTTTAAATAAGGTAAAATAGAAAACAAGCAGTGGATAGAGGTACTTATATGGTCGAGGAAGATGAATTGGAAGGAATGTGGTTCTGTCCGGGCCTCGTACGGTGGTCGGAGCAAGGTTGACGGTAGCGGACGACGGTTGTAGAAACAAGCATAATAGAAGAAGGAAGTAAAAGTTCTGAATGAAGGAACTCCTTCACTATTTATAAGTAGGCTCTAGGAACGTGCGCGAGCATGCGCACGTAGGGCATCATCATGACCCTAGCCTAGCCATCACCATGCATTTAATGCAGCACACGGCTCGAGGCACACATGGCATCCCTACTCTTCAGATCCCATCAACCGTTGGGCTCCCCGATCTCAAGATCCCCGGCTCCAACAGCCACAGACAAGTGGTCACCAGAACACGAGGAGACATAGGACGACTTTTCCTGGGAAGCAGGCCACTCTTAAGTCATCACTACCATGCTCGGTAGCAACAACATGAGGGGCTTACTGTTCCGGACATGCCCGATGGCCAGGCATGACCCAATTCACTTCTTCTCCCAAAACGGCCCAATTGCCTATGTCCAACCTCTTTAAAGGATAATTTACCTTTCTGCCCCTTCAATAGGGGAGGCTGGTCCATTTACCCTTGGTCACAATATTTCTCCCCGTCAGTCCTGCCCGTCATGCACGGTTCCACCATCCAGAAACAACCAAGACGCTTGTGCCCGTGACTGCATCTTGACCCGTCGTAACGGCTAGTTATGGGCACGTCTGCCTAACCTAACGGTTATTTCTGGCAATTACCTATTCTTCGGGAAACAACTATCTTGCCCCGAAAATAGGGACCAATGGCCAAGCGCTGGAGGCATTATAAAAACCTTCTCACATGAGAGGGTCAGGTATCCAATTTCTTACCTAGAAACACACATTCTATACTTGCTCGCTCTCTTGCTCGCTTTTTTTACTTTAGCATCAGAGTGTCTTATAGGTACACCCCCTCCTCCTCTTTCACACCTAGCATCACAGACGTTGATTTTTGGCCCATATCAAATCTTGATCGTTCGGTAAGATCAAAACCATTAAAAAAGAATGGAAAAATCAGAACAAAATAGATACCTTAATACCAAATTTCAACAAAAATAAATAATTATGAAATAAACCGCTTTCGATCTTTCATCAAACACACACAAGTCAAGAAGAAAAAAAAACACAAGACTAACAAAACAAATCTCCCTGAATATTGTAACCAACGGAAACATTCAAAAGCTAAATCACATAGAAAAATTCACAAATCAATTCATAAAATAAAGACACAACAATAAATATCCAATGTCAAAAAGTGATCTGAACGTTAACATCAAAGATTCAAAACATCAAAAAAAAAACAAAAAAATTTGGACTCACTCTCCGTTTTTATTTTGTGATAACAATGGAAGGTCTGACTGTTTTGATGGAAATAGCAGTGGAGTTAGGAGAATTTAAAGGTTTTAAGATTAACGATAAGGAGTCTGTTGATATTCTTCAGTTTGCTGAGGACACCATCATTCTTGAAGATGGTGGAAGTGATAACTTATGGAGTGTGAAGGCTATTTTCAGAGGCTTTGAGATGATTTTAGGGCTTCTAGTTAACTTCTGAAAAAACAACATTTATGGTATTAATGTGTGTGATTGTAACATGGATGCGACGTCTTCTTTTCTATATTGTGGGATCGATCATTTTCCTTTTAAGTTTTTAGGTTTGATGGTTGGAGATATCCCTAAAAGAATGTTTATATGGAAGGATTTGTTAAGAAATCTAAAGAGTAGACTATCTTCGTGGAGTGGGAGATTTCTTTCTTTGGGTGGGAGAGTTGTCTTGATTAATCAGTATTGAATTCTATTCCAATTTACACTTTATCCTTTTATAATTCTCTGAATAAGGTGTTGCAAGAGATTCATAGCATTCAAAGTAAGTTCTTGTCACAAAGGGGTAGAGGATAAGAGAACAACTCAGTGGGTTAGCTGGGATTTAGTGTGTAAATCCAAAGAGTGTGGAGGTCTTGGTATCAAAGAAATATAGGTTTCCAACAAAGCCATATTGTTGAAGTGAAAATGAAGGATTGTGAAATAGAAAACATTGTTATGGAGTGGGTTGCTGCGACATAGGTACAAGAACCATGAAGTGACAGTGTTCATTTGCAATAAAAGTGTGATTAAAAAAGGATATTTAATTTGGTGTAAGGATTTAATTTTGGCCAACATCAATTTGGATGGAAACCAAAATTGTTTTTCTAACAACATGTTTTGTAGATTTAAAGATGGAAAAAGAATTTCCTTTTGCATAGCAAGTGGATTGGCAACCAATCGTTGAAGGATGCTTATCCGGAAGTGTTTGTTTCGGCTGCAGCCCCTTTAAGTAGCATGTCATAATAAGGTTGGTGGGATGATGGTGTTTGGAGATGGAATTCATAGGCAATGAGGAACAACTAGAATGAGTTCTCTAGTTTGCAGAGGGAAGAAATGCAGGATTTAATTTCGAACATGGTACTTGTGTTGGATGAGGGTGATGGTTTTGCTTGGATGTGGGAAGATAATGAACTCTTTACTGTTAAATATGCTTTTGAAGTTGTAGAATCCAGAACCGGTGATGTTTTGGTCACGGAAGAAGTGATAATGGATGTCAATTCCTTATGGTAGATAAAGGCCCTTCGAATATTCAAATGTTTGGGTGGAGATTGATTCTTAATAGACTTCCAACTAGAGATCAATTGGTTAGAAGGAGGATTTTGTTTGATGATAGAGATAAGTGTTGTGCTTCATGCTTCAAAGAAGATGAATCAAAGTAGCATTTATTTGGTCGGTGTGATTTCAACACCAAAACTTGGGTAGCTGTTGCTAAATGGTTAGGATCAAACATAGACTTGACATTGGAGGTTTTGTCTTCTTTTATTATTAACTTTCAAAAGTTGAAGGATGAGGACTATCGCAAAATCATAAGTGTGAACTGGTTGGATGCTAATTGGAACATTTGGTTGATGCGTAATGCTATTATGTTTAAATGTATTGTTCCTAATTTTGAGGATTGTATGACGGCTATTAAATTCCAAGCTTAGAAGTGAATATGTGTTGGTTGAAACCCATGTTCTTTTTGTATCTTTTACAATTGGTATACCTCGCCTTTATCATGTTATAGAAAGAGAGGTTCATTTTGGTCTCTTTTGTATCGGGTTCGAGGATCTCTTATACTCGTATTTTTAATGAGAACGTTGCATTGCTTATTTAGAAAAGAACTTTGTCTTTATATTCGTAGAATTTCACATTCTTACATATTTTACAATGACTATAAACCTAATGCATGTAAAAGTTCTTCATCTAATATGATCTCGAATTGTTTATTGTAGTTTTATGAAAAAATTTAATGAATAAAGGAGTTGATTCAACATACTCTCAATATTCCAGTGTAAAGTGTAGGAACTCCTTTTTCCTTACTTAAGGTATTGATAAATCTTAGCTCAATATTTAAAATCAGGTAAAACACAAAAGATGTATGAATTCATTATAATTTATCACAAATTCAAGAATTCAGCAGAGTGAGAAAGATTTTGAATCTACAAACAAGTCGATTCGTTCTTTGGACTTAAAATGGTAAATTTATATGTGTTTACATATTACTACGCAAATTCAATAAGATGACCCCAAACGATTTAGAGATGAAGAAGTCAATGAAATAAATGTCTATTCAACATAGCATAATTCAAATGCTAAAAAAATATATAAAAACACAAACAAAGCATATGCTAAGATAATACACAAATTAAAGGGGAAAATATAAAATCATGAAAGCAAGATCTCACTATTAGAAAAACTCTGTTTTTCTGCGGATTTTGACAAAGTTTCCGCAGGAAATGTATTATTTTCTGTGCCCAGCTAAAACCTTCGGGGTAATTAATTTAGCTGGAAAATTTCGCAGGTAAAGTCTTAAGAATTTCTGCGAACTTTGCTGCTACCATAATTTTCGCAGGAAATAATACTTCACAATATAAATTTGATGGTAAAAACGCAGGTACATCTGAGATAAATCTCCACAGAAAAATCCGCAGGTAATTCCTGTATTTCTAATAATAATGTCTTACCATCTTCCATTTCTAAGAATCTTTGGTGAAGAACAATACAATATTAGTAAATTCCAATGTCTCAAACTCAATGAGTCGTGTAAGCAACTTTGCAAATCTTGAGAACAATGCATCCATGATATTTTCACCAAACTTAGCTATTAAAAGAGGCTCAAATACAGCTCGGTGATACTTGGATATGAACTCTCCTCTCATTTTTCTATCAACAGCATAATTAACATTATCAATTTGGGCTTCCATTTACCTGCCGTCTTGAGGTTTGAACCAAATCGTATTCAGGAGAGCACGATCTTGAGTTACGGGAAGGTTTGAGCGAAATCATATTCAGGAGAGCACGATTCTGAGTTATGAAGAAGTTCATTTATCCTTTAGTAAAAGAAGGAACGGAATCATATTCAGGAGAGCACGATTCTGAGTTATGAGGAAGTTCAGTTGGCCGTTTTTCAGGAGAGCACGATTCTGAAGAATGAAGAAATTTCAGGAACCGAATCATATTCAGGAGAGCACGATTCTGAGTTATGAGGAAGTTCGATTATCCAGTTTCATATTCAGGAGAGCACGATTCTGAAGTATGGAAAAATTCATTTACAACCAAATCATATTCAGGAGAGCACGATTCTGAAATATGAGTATATTCAGTCATCCAGTTTCATATTCAGGAGAGCACGATTCTGAAGTATGAGTATATTCAGTTTCATATTCAGGAGAGCACGATTCTGAAATATGAAGAAATTCAGTCATCCAGTTTCATATTCAGGAGAGCACGATTCTGAAATATGAGTATCTTCAGTCATTCAGTTTCATATTCAGGAGAGCACGATTCTGAAATATGAAGAAATTCAGTCATCCAGTATCATATTCAGGAGAGCACGATTCTGAAGTATGAGGAAGTTCAGTTTACCCTTTTCATGTTCAGGAGAGCACGATTCTGAAGCATGAAGCAGTTTATTTATCCTTCAGTAAGAGAAGAATCAGAATCGTATTCCAGGCGCCGACCTTAAATGCGAGAAGATTTATTTATCAGATAAGCAGCAGCCTCTTTATTTGAGTGCTTATCCATTTTTTGCACATAAGTCCCTTCCAACGATAAGTGACAGTTCTCCCTCGAGAAGCTTATCAGGGCAATTCCCATCAAAGTCCATTTATTTTGGCATACAGTCGGTCTTTACCCTGTATATCTGCTACGGAGTTCCGAAAAGTCCGTTTGATCCTGTCACGAGGGGTAGTTTACAGAAGCTTGGATGTTATTCCTTGCTCAATGCTCCAGCATTCTGTAATCGATCTTACAATCGTATGTGATCCAGTTTTATTTTTAGATTCCCCAGTGGAGGCCGTCTCATAGGTACCATCTCCATTCGAGGATCTCGTTCCTTTTCTAAAAGTGACAATTGGTCATTCGCACCAGTTGACTATCATTTTTAGAATTCCCCAGTGATGTACTGTGTCTCAGCGCGTCGTTTTCCCCAGTGTGTTCTTCTCGTAGCATCTGTGTCGTCGTATTCGTCAGCATTTTCGCATTCATCATTCCAGCATACGCATCACATCATATTCACGGCATCATCTGCATTAATCTGTTCTCGCTTTGTCCATAGCATTGCATATCGCCGCATATAAGGGCAAAATTTTCGGTTATCTATATTTAAATCCCTCCACCATGATTCCTTGAGTCTCCGTCACTCAAATCATCTGGTGTAGCTATTTAAATAGGGGCAACTGTAATACCCCAAATTTTACCCTTTCTTTTTTATTTTTATTTTAAATTCTTATTAACCTAATAAATTAACCTTTTTTTTAGATCTTGTTTTTTTAACTAATAATAATTTAATTAATTTTTTTTTTATAACTTTACTAATATTTTTTATTAACTTTTTTTTTTCTATTTAGTTTATTTATTTAAAGCTCTTCTTACTAACTTTTAGGATTTAGATTAAAATTTAACTTTTTTTTTTTTTTCTTTTCTTTAAAGAGTAAATTTTTCATAACCTTTTTTAAATTAATTTCTAACACTTTTTTTTTTAATCAAATTCTAATACTTTTTTTTAAATAAAAATCTAATACTTTTTTTTAAAATTAAATCTTTTTTTCTAACTTTTTAAAATTAAATCTTTTTTCTAACCTTTTAAAGCTAAATCTTTTTTTTTTTCTAACTTTTTTAAAGTTAAATATTTTTTTCTAACTTTTTTTAAAACTAAATCTTTTTTTTCTAACTTTTTTAAAGTTAAATCTTTTTTTCTATTTTTTTAAAAAAAATCAAATCTTTTTTCTAACTTTTTTAAAGTTAAATATTTTTTTCTAACTTCTTTTTAAAATTAAATCTTTTTTCTAACTTTTATAAAGTTAAATCTTTTTTCTAACTACTTTTTTAAAATTAAATCTTTTTGTCTAACTCTTTTTAAAAATTAAATCTTTTTTTCTCTAACTTCTCTTTTTAAAAAATTAAATCTTTTTTCTCTAACTTCTTTTTTAAAAAATTAAATCTTTTTTTCTCTAGCTTCTTTTTAAAATTAATTTTTTTTTTCTAACCTTTTTTTTAAAATTAAATCTAAATCTTTTTTTTGACACCTTTATTTTTCAAATTAAAATTCTAAATTCTTTTTAAAATTAAATTCTAACGCCCTTTTTTTTTTAAAAATTTTAAATTCCTTTTAAAATTAAATTCTAACAGTTTTTAAAATAATTCTAACATTTTTTAAAACCAACATTCAAATATTTTTTTTTTTTTACTCTAACTCATTTTTTTTTTTAAAACTCTAATTTTTTATTTAACTTGAAACTCTAATCTTCTTTGCTAACTTTTTAAATTTAAATCTCAACACTTTTTTAATCTAATCCAATCTTAATGAATTCCAGATCAAATCAATCATATCATATCATCATCATAAGAAAATCAGCATCACCATCAAATCAAATCTGAAATCATCATAAAAATCTACTCAAATCAAATCCGAGATTGAAAAAGATTGAGATATTCAAATTAAATCTGAGATTAAAAAAGATTTAAAAATCAAGTATAAAAGGGACGAAAATCATAGCAAGAAAGGGAGAACTTTTTTCGAAAAATCCAAGCAAACTCCGTCAAAAATCCTCTAGCCTCAGGACAAAGCATCATCGGCCATCATCATTCCGTAAGGATCAAAAAATATAATTACAATTTTTGTGTTGCTTTTCATGTTTTTCAGGAAAAAGAGATGAAGAAGACAAATCGGCGGTCATGCAAAAGAAGAAGAAGATAACATCCGTGAGAGGCAAACAAGAAGGAGAGGAACACACGCAAACTCAGAGAGCAGAGAGAAGAAGAGTGATGACCGGCCCAACCCTCTTTTTTATTATTTATTGTTTTTCCATTTGTTATTTTATTTTGTTTATCTTTTTTAAAAAAAATCAAGAAGACCCTTTCTTTTTTATAATCAAAAACCTTTTTCAAATTAATTAAAACTCTTTTTAAATAAAATAATCAAATGTTTTTTTCAAATAATAAAACTTTTTTATAACTTTAAAGTAAAACGTGTTTTTAACTAACATTAAGATTTTTTAAATTAAACCAATTGTTTTTTTTTTTAATGATTAAATCTTTTTTTTCAAAATATTATCACTAAAACTCCTTTTTTAGAATAATTAACCAAACTTTCACTTTTTTATTAATAAATTTTTTTAAAACTCAAAACTCTTTTAATTAAAATCAATCTCTCTTTTCACAAATTTAAATCCTTGGTTAAAAAGACCATAAAAGTCCTCCAAAATTCATACGGTTTGTTCCTCGTTCAATTTTGATTTCGTTTTCGTCTAACCCCACATACTGACATTTTTTGTTTGTTTTGTTTCTTGCAGCTATTATGTTCAATTTGAAACTTATTTTCGGTTTTATATTTAGCTATTATAATTGTAACTGCTTATGGGATGTAATTGTGCGAGACAATTGTCGCATTTATCTTTCCGCACTTTATTTTCTGCCGTTGTATGTATATTCAATTTCATCGCATCTTTATAATTAATTTCACTCCTCCGAAGGAATTAGGTCTAGCCGTTTGACCGTCGTGTCAATGATCCTCACCTTCAACCCTTACAACCTCACAAACCCTAATTTTCACAAATGCCTCGCCGCAGGCAAAATTACAATTTTACCCCTAGCATTAGGTCAAAGAGCCGCCGCGCTCATTTTAGGGTTTCCCGCCGCGGAATCCCTAACCTAACCTAATTTAACCCTAATTACAACTTAACAATTCAACGTAGAGATTTGGAGTTTCTACACTCCACGTAAGCGTGTCCTTAAGATGCGTTTATTCCCCTTGAGACCTTGACCACAGTCAAGAAGTTTCTAACCTCCCTATTGAGGGGAACTACGATTACTCTGATTCCACTCTCGTAAGGATACGTAGGCACAAGATGCGATGTCTTGCCGAGTAAACTTAGAATTAACCCCTTAGGTCTCTTTTCTCACTTTTAATCCTTTGTACATATACCTTAAGAATAATAAAGCAAATAGTAAACATCTGAACAAAAGGTTCCTGTAGAGTACTACAGAAGTTTAGGGTGCTAATACCTTCCCTAAATTTAACCAACCCCCGAACCCTAGATCTTTCCCCGCATTGTGTTTATGATGCAAAATAGGTTTTCCCTCTTTTGACCTTTTCCTTCGGATAAATCAAAGAGCGGTTGTGAACTGAATTGTGATTCAAATTAATTAATATTTGATATCCTATTTCCACCGCAACAGAAAATGGCGACTTCACTGGGGACTGACTACTAACTTTTGAGGGTTATCCCTAACTTGTTCATATTTATTACTATCTGTGTCATTATTCATTTGCATGTATATATTTGTGCTTTGATTGTGGGACTGTTCCTTGTGCTGTGAGATAGGTCCTACACCCGGATCTAGTGTACCTTAGGTAAATGGCAATAGACCAAGGAAACTGTACGACGTATATCGATACGGTTGATCTGGTGGCCATGGTTAGTGCGACTTCTTGGTTGGTGCTTATATTCCTTAAGTCAAGTTGAGGATAATATTGAGGCTGCCATATGTTGTCAACGCACTAACTGACTTTTAGAACCCTAGTTAACTCATCTTGGCCTTTAGAAAGTAGTGAGGTAACCGGCTTTGGTGCAGACTGAAGTTGGTTGACACTCGATACTACGCTCATTGAGATCTTAAACTTGGAGGGTTTTGGTTGGCAAGTAAGTTGCCTTCTGAACAACCATCCTTGTGAAAGATCAATGATATTGAGATCCCTTAGAAC